CCCAGCAGAAGTGATGGACATGGTTTGCAGAGGTTCGGTTTGACTCATCTGGTAAAACTCGGCCTACGTGAGAAACTGAGTCATAGTTTACCAAAGGATATTAAAGAGTTTAAGAAACTATCAGAATTCTCGGTTAGTAACCATAAGCTTATTATTTTTGCTTGTGCAACTTTTTCAGTTGACAGAAGTACTTCTGAGAGTTGATGATAACAAAGTGGAATTCCTTTCAAATAAAGTGGAGAATTTATGAGAACTGAAGTTTGTGCAGCCTTACAAGAACTAGTTTACTTGGATGTAAGTTGAAATCAGTAGCATGCCAGCAGTGGTGTCTGCAATGGAGGCTCTCCAGGTACTGCTGTGACACCACAGTAAGAACATTCCCTGAAGAACTGTGGTCTTACAAGTGTTTAAAAACACTCGACATTTCAAATAATCAGATAAAGAGTGTTCCTTTACAGAGTAGCGGTTTGGAAGGGATCAAAGACCTAAATGTATCAAACATCTGGTTTGCATTTTTTCCTTCTGAAATTTGTCATCACTTCACTGGAGACATTGATGACAGTGTATTGCATGAATGAGCTGAAGGCAAGAGAACATTTCTTTATTCTTTAGGTAAGAAAAACTTGTGTCTTTTAGATTGTTGTGCTGCAAAATTATTATTAAAAGACTTCCAAGAGATGTAAAAAAACCCTTGTGTTTCAATACACCTAGAGTAAATAAAGGGCAGAAACCCAGCCTCTAAAGAAGTAAATACACGTATGTATTTACCTGGTTTTAATACCATAATTGGACAAAAATCTGCCAGGATACGCTTGTAGTTAGAAATACTAAACATGAAACTCACTTTACTGAGGTGTGTCTTGAGGTGGTATTCTGATTTGATTTGACATTTACCTGAAACAGACTATCTATATCTTTATTTTTCTAGCACTATGATGTATTTAGGTATTTTCCATCCCAATGGCTGTCAAGAGACAAAACAACTAGCTGGACTTTGGTAGGTAAGCTAGCCTCCCAGATTCCTCTCTCTCAAATGAATAAATCCTTCCCACTCATGTAATTCTTCTCAAACTTAGCTGGTGATTGAACTTTCACTGATTCAAGCAAGAAAAGCTATATTGGATCCCCAATGTCTTACAACAGAGCAAAATTGCTTGACTCTTCTACAATGTAAAGTTGTTTTTGTTTTTTTTTTTTTTTTTAATACTAAGGAACAAAGCAAAATGATCTCCTGATGAGTTAGGTGTTTAAATCTCTCTTTTCACCAGAATTTGCAAAATCAGTATTTCATACCTGATTTCAGCAAAGGGGTGTATTCCTTTGTATGATTTCAAGGGTGGTTATGGTCCCTTCCAAGGGCTGGCTTTTTACTGGCTCAGAAACAAGAAGCGTGTGGTCTTACATTCATTCCTCAGAGAACAGATGGAGAATATTTGAAGTTCTGAGAGAGAATAACAATTAGAAAAGACAGAATTAAGAACAGAACCAAAAAGAAGAGAATTCCCTATTTCACCTCCTTGTAACTGAGGAAAGCAGAGCATTACAACGCCTTCCACGAAGAAATTTTTCCTAACACCCAATCCAGACCACCCCGGGGGCGGCTGGAGGCCGTTTCCTCTTCTCCTAGCGCTTGTTGCGGTGGGGACCAGACCTACCCCCACCTGCTCCAGCCTCCTTTCAGGCAGCCGTGGACACGGCGCTATGCCCCGGGAGCCGCCCCGTCCCCGGCCGGGGC